TCAAATTGTGCGTACGCCAGTTTTATAAATCCGACCCCTGGTCTGTTTTCTTTTTAACTTGACTCAGCCAAAGTGAAACAGGAAGTGACATCAAAGGGAACTCTTTACCAATGAAAACTCTCGTCTTTGTTTATTGAAACATTATTTAAATTCTGACTCTTCTTCATCTATCTGATAGACTCAAAATAATTAAAAAACATCAGATTCTTCTCTACAGTCTGTTATCAGTTGTTGTAACAAYGCTCTGTTTACATTCAGACATTCCCCTATGACATCACTTCCTGTTACTTAACAGGCAAATATCTCAACAACTGTTCATCTCAGCAACATGGAATTTATTTTGCAATATTTTATCAATGTCCCCTTTGTAAAAATGTGTTCAGAATCAGAAAGAGCTTTCTTGCCATTGTCAGTGATAAACACAGACTAGGAATTTGGACTGCCTTCAGGATCATTTTCATTTTACGATAAACCAGGTCTCCCCCACAGCCAATCAGCAGGAATCCAGTTATCATGAATCCAAAAATATACAGATCTTCCACGTCTTCAGTGGAAAGCGGGTCCAAACAGATGAGGTTCCACCCMCAAGGCCCAGACACACGCCCGGCCGCCACCATTCCACTGGGACAGCTGCGCTCCCCTCGCTCCAATCTCGGTGTGGAAAAACTAGTGTCGATTACGTTCAAAGACCAGTTGACCAAATCCATAATTCCTTTGTTATCGGATGATAGGTAGAAGAAAGGCTTGACCCAGCTGCAAAACAGGGAAGGAGGGACAGGTTCGGGAGAGAGAGCAGAAAGCGTCCGACTCCTCTGAAGGCCAAGCAGAGAAAAAATATATATATATGTACAGTATATACGTATATTCATTCGTCTGTGTTACAGAGATGTGATGTCACAGGCACTTTAAAGACCTGTAGTCAGATCCCTGTTTTTGTTCTGATTCTCTCTGGTCCAAACAAAGGTTTGGGTTCAGACTGAAAGTCTTTTCTTCTCCAGGGTACAAGCCCTGTGACCCTCAGATCATCCAGGACCGGGTGGCCCACCTGGAGTTCTGCTACCAGGAGCTGAGCCAGCTGGCCGCGGAGCGTCGTGCCCACCTGGAGGAGTCTCGTCGCCTCTGGAAGTTCTTGTGGGAGCTGGCGGAGGAGGAGGGCTGGATCCGTGAGAAAGAGCAGATCCTGTCCTCCCTGGAGCTAGGTAAAGACCTGACGGGGGCTGTGCGCCTGCTGAGCCAGCAGCGCGCCCTGGAAGATGAGATGAGCGGACGCGCTGGGCACCTGCAGCACACCATAGCCGAGGGCCAGACCATGGTCCAGGTGGGTCACTTCGGTGCCGCCAGGATCCAGGAGCGCGTCGCGGACCTCCAGGCTCAGTGGGCCGCCCTCGAGCAGCTGGTCGCCTCGAGGAAGAGGAGACTGGAGGAAGCTCTGGCTCTGCACCAGTTCCAGGCGGACGCGGACGACGTGGACGCCTGGACTCTGGACGCTCTGCGCATCGTCTCCAGTGGAGAGACCGGCCACGACGAGTTCTCCACCCAAGCTCTGGTCCGGAAGCACAAGGACGCCGCAGCAGAGGTGGCCAGCTACCGCTCAGTTATCGACTCCCTACACGAGCAGGTGGCGGCGCTGCCCCGGGACGAGGCGGAGTCAGAGGAGGTGCGCGGCCGGCTGGCTGGCATCGAGGAGCGCTACAGGGAGGTGTCTGAGCTGACCAAGCTGAGGAAGCAGGCGCTGCAGGACACGCTGGCGCTCTACAAGATGTTCAGCGAGGTGGACGCCTGCCAGGTCTGGATCGACGAGAAGGAGCAGTGGCTCAACGGCATGGAGATCCCCGAGAAACTGGAGGACCTGGAGGTCATACAGCACAGGTAGGACCGCTGGGCGCACCTGTARTTACCTGTGTGTCAGGTACTGGTGGTCTGACCCGGACGCTCATCTCTCTGCAGGTTCGAGAGTCTGGAACCAGAGATGAACAGCCAGGCGTCTCGTGTAGCTGTGGTGAACCAGATCGCCCGACAGCTGGTCCACAGTGGACACCCGAGTCACAAGGACATCAAGACTCAGCAGGACAAGCTCAACAACAGGTACGGACTCTAGCAGAACCTCCACAGAACCTGACCATAGGCCCGTGAAACTGGAATGATCTTTTGACTCTGACCGTCCCCGCTCCCCCACAGGTGGAGTCAGTTCCGGGACCTTGTGGACCAAAAGAAAGAGTCCCTGAACTCAGCTCTGGGTGTGCAGAACTACCACCTGGACTGCAACGAGACCAAGTCCTGGATCAGAGAGAAAACCAAAGTCATCGAGTCCACCCAAGAGCTGGGCAACGACCTGACCGGAGTCATGGCCCTGCAGCGGAAACTGACCGGCATGGAGCGGGACCTGCTCGCCATCCAGGACAAGCTGGGGGACCTGCAGACCGAGGCCCAGCAGCTTTCTGAGGAGCACCCAGACCAGGCCAAGGCCATCACTGGACGGCTGGCCGAGATCACCGCCGTCTGGAACGAGATGAAGAACACTCTGAAGACCCGGGAGGAGTCTCTGGGCGAAGCCCGCAAACTGCAGCAGTTTCTACGGGAGCTGGACGACTTCCAGGCCTGGCTGTCCCGCACTCAGACCGCCATCGCCTCTGAGGACATGCCCAACACGCTGGCCGAGGCCGAGAAGCTGATGGCCCAGCACCAAAGCATCAAGAACGAGGTCCAGAACTACGAAGAGGACTACCAGAAGATGCGGGACATGGGCGAGATGGTGACGCAGGGTCAGACCGATGCTCAGCACATGTTCCTGCACCAGAGGCTGCAGGCGCTCCACACCGGCTGGAACGAGCTGCACAGGATGTGGGAGAACCGGCAGAACCTGCTGTCCCAGTCYCATGCCTACCAGCTGTTCCTGAGGGACACCAGGCAGGCCGAGGCCTTCCTCAACAACCAGGTAAGATCAGGGTCTCACCTGCAAACACCTGAACCCCCCACTGACAGACCCCAGGTAAAACCTGTGATCCTCAGAGGATGAACCTGAGACCAGTTCTAACCTGTTCTCACCTGAGGATGAACCTGTCAAAGTTTTAGTCTGGTTTCTTGGCAGGAGTATATCCTGGCTCACACGGAGTTGCCCACCACTCTGGAGGGTGCTGAGGCTGCCATCAAGAAGCAGGAGGACTTTATGACCACCATGGACGCCAGCGAGGATAAGATCAACGCCGTGATTGAAGCGGGCCGGAGGCTGGCGGCTGACGGGAACATCAACGCCGATCGTATCCAGGAACGAGTGTCCTCCATCGATGACAGGTACCTTCAGCAGAGGTCAGAGAGGAGCCAGTTCTCATGGTTCCTTCATGGTTCCTTCATGTTCCTTCATGTTCCAGGCATAAGAAGAACAGGGAGGCTGCTGTGGAGCTGCTGATGAGACTGAAGGACAATCGAGACCTGCAGAAGTTCCTCCAGGACTGTCAAGAGGTCGGTCAGCACTCCTTACAGSAGCAGTTTGGTCAAACATGGTGTTCTGAGATGATGAAATACTCACTGATGTGACACAACCATTGCTGTAATCCTCTGTTGTGTTCCTGCAGCTGTCTCTGTGGATCAGTGAGAAGATGCTGACAGCGCAGGACATGACCTATGATGAGGCTAGGAACCTGCACAGCAAGTGGCTGAAACACCAGGCCTTCATGGCTGAACTGCAGTCCAACAAGGAGTGGCTGGACAAAATCCAGAAGGTACGTGTGTTCTCAGCAGGGTGTGAGGAAGAACTAACAACTGGGTTTTCAGGAGCTGTTTGGGTTCAGACCCAGTGATCTTTTTTTAACTGGACAGTTATGGAATAATGTATCCGGTCAACGAGAACCTTTTAAAGGTGACTAGGGCTCAGCATGCTAAGTTTAGTCCCTGCCTTCAGGACGGGATGCTGCTGGTGTCAGAGAAGCCCGAGACAGAGGCGGTGGTGAAGGAGAAGCTCTCGTTGCTCCATGGCACGTGGGACAAGCTGGAATCCACCACTCAGACCAAAGCCCAATGTCTGTTCGACGCCAACAAGGCTGAGCTGTTCACGCAGAGCTGCACCGACCTGGACAAGTGGCTGGGCAGCCTGGAGGGCCAGATCCAGTCTGATGACTACGGCAAAGACCTGACGTCCGTCAACATCCTGCTRAAGAAGCAGCAGGTCAGTTGGTTTTCTAACAGGACATGTATGTGTGTCATTTTCTAACTTTTTCTAACCGAGTCACTCTTTGATTAGATGTTGGAGAACCAGGTGGAGGTGCGTCAGAGGGAGGTGGTGGAGCTGCAGAGCCAAGTGAAGGCCCTTGGTCAGGAGGTGAAAGACACTGACGAGGTGGACGGGCGTAGACAGGTGGTGGAGAAGAAGTTCCAGGAGCTGCTGGAACCGCTGCGGCAGCGCAGAAATTTCCTAGTGGCATCCAGAGAAATTCATCAGTTCAACCGTGACATCGAGGACGAAATCGTATGTAGATAGACTCTCTTCACAAACCATGCCCCGCCCCTAACATACCATACCCTGCTCCCAACYCACCATGCCCCGCCCCTCAACCCAACCCACCATGTCCCGCCCCTAACATACTATGTCCCACCCCCAACATAGCATGCCCCGCCCCAACATACCATGCCAAGCCCCCACCCCCAACCCACCATGTCCCGTTCCTCAACCCAACCTACCATGTCTCACCCCTCAACCCAACCCACCATGTCCCGCAACTCAACCCAACCCACCATGTCCCGCAACTCAACCCAACCCACTATGTCTTGCCCCTCAAACCAACCCACCATGTCCCGCCCGCCCCTCAACCCAACCCACCATGTCCTGCCCCTCAACCCAACCCACCATGCCCTACGCCCCATAAACACTGAAAGCTGAATCTAAGAGACTAAGTGACCCCTCCCCATGGCAATACCACCCACTCTCAATGTTTTCCTGCAGCTCTGGGCCCATGAGAGGATGCCTGTGGCCACATCCACTGACTATGGACACAACCTGCAGACAGTTCAGCTGCTCATCAAGAAGAACCAGGTGAGTTCCTGTAACCTCAGAGGGTCTGCAGGTTTGTTGTTGTCCTTCTAACATTTTGGTGTCTATGTTTTTGACCTCAGACGGTAGAGAAGGAAATCCAGGGTCATCAGCCTCGTATCACTGACATCCTGGAGCGCAGTCAGAGTCTGCTGCAGGATCAGTCCTCCAACACTAATGTGATCCGCCAGCGTCTCTCCGACCTGCAGCAGCTTTGGAAGCAGTTGATGGAAGAAGTGGAGCGGCGGCACAAACGGCTTCAGGAGGCCCACAAAGCCCAGCAGTATTACTTTGATGCCGCCGAGGCAGAGGCCTGGATGAGTGAACAGGAGCTCTACATGATGTCAGAGGAGAAGGCCAAGGTCTTTGAGGGAGGGCAGCATCAGACAAACCATCCTGTAAAGCTCTTGGTTCCATCAGTCTTATGAATCTTTTTTTCCTGATCAGGACGGGCAGAGCGCTGTCAACATGCTGAAAAAACATCAGATCATGGAGCAGGCGGTTGAGGACTACGCCGAGACTGTCCATCAGCTGTCTAAGACCAGCAGAGGACTCGTGGCTGATGGACACCCAGAGAGGTGCTTACACTCATCTGTATGACAAGTAAAACCCTGAGAACAGTTCTCATTTGTCCCAGTAACACAACTTTGTGGGTGTTTTTGTGTCAGTGAGCGAATCAGTATGCGGCAGTCCAAGGTTGACAAGCTATACGCTGGCCTGAAGGACCTGTCTGAGGAGAGGCGTGGCAAACTAGATGAGAGGCTCCACCTCTTCCAGCTCAATCGAGAGGTGGATGACCTAGAACAGTGGATTGCTGAGCGAGAGGTGGTGGCCGGGTCACACGAGCTGGGCCAGGATTACGAACACGTCACTGTAAGTTACTGCAAGTAATACTGAGAYATGACAGGTGGTACTAAGGTCAGGGTACGAAGATAAAGAGGTTTTCTTTAAACAGTACAAGAATACCTCTGTCAGACTGTACCGATATACCTCTGTAAGACGGTACCAAGATGGTACCGGTATACCTCTGCCAATTGAGAGTACCGGTATACCTCTGTAAGMCGGTACCGGTACCTGTATACCTCTGTCAGACTGTATCGGTATACCTCTGTAAGACAGTACCTGTATATCTCTGTCAGATTGCACCAGTATAAATCTGTAAGACGGTACCGGTATGCCTCTGTAAGATGGTACCGGTATGCTTCTGTAAGACGGTACCGGTATGCCTCTGTAAGACGGCACCGGTATACCCCTGTCAGACTGTACCGATATACCTCCGTAAGATGGTACCGATATGCCTCTGTCAAACTGTACCGTTATATCTCTGTAAGATGGTGCCGGTATACCTCTATAAGATGGTACCGGTATACCTCTGTAAGACGGTACCAGTATACCTCTGTTAGACTGTACCGGTATATCTCTGTAAAACGATGCCGGTATGCCTCTGTAAGACGATACCGGTATGCCGCTGTAAGATGGTACCGTTATGCCTCTGTAAGATGGTACCGGTATCCCTCTGCCATCTTGGAGTACCAGTATACCTCTGTCAAAACCATCTAATGTCAACTCATCTCTGGTTTCAGATGCTGCAGGAGCGTTTCCGGGAGTTTGCACGGGACACTGGAAACATTGGACAGGAGCGTGTAGACGCTGTTAACCGGCTGGCAGATGAGCTGATCAATGCCGGGCATGGTGATGCAGCCACAGTAGCTGAGTGGAAAGACGGACTGAATGAGGCCTGGGCAGACCTGCTGGAGCTTATCGACACCAGAACTCAAATCCTTGCTGCCTCCTTTGAGCTCCACAAGTTCTACCACGATGCCAAGGAGATCTTAGGACGCATCGCAGACAAGCAGAAAAAGCTGCCAGAAGAGGTGGGCCGAGACCAAAACACGGTGGAGACTCTGCAGAGGATGCACACCACCTTTGAACACGACATCCAGGCACTGGGAACGCAGGTGAGATTTCTGTCTGTTCACGCCCAGAAACCAGGAGCTAGAGATCAAGAAGAAAAACAAATCAGAATATTAATGCTGGGTGTTCAGGGTGGTGGTTAGCGATCTATCTCATACATGTCCCGTGATCTGTCACATACATGTCCTGAGATTTGTGACATACATGTCCCATGATCTGTCACATACATGTCCTGAGATTTGTGACATACATGTCCCGTGATCTGTCACATACATGTCCTGAGATTTGTGACATACATGCCCCATGATCTGTCACATACACGTCCCGTGATCTATCACATACATGTCCTGTGATCTGTTGCGTGCTGCAGGTGAGGCAGCTGCAGGAGGATGCGGTGCGCCTGCAGTCAGCGTACGCCGGGGACAAGGCAGATGATATTCAGCGCAGGGAAAGCGAAGTTCTGGAGGCCTGGAGGAGTCTGCTGGAGGCCTGTGAAGGACGCAGGGTCCGTCTCCTGGACACCGGGGACAAGTTCCGCTTCTTCAGCATGGTCCGGGACCTCATGCTGTGGATGGAGGACGTGATCCGGCTTATTGAGGCCCAGGAAAAACCCAGGTAGGCCCGTTAAATTAAGTCAGGGGTGCCAAACCATTTTTGAACCAAGGGCTACTTTTGAAGTCGGYAGTTTGTCGAGATCTACTCATCCAGTCTCAGTATCAAAAAAACAATTTTTCATCTCCCTACTCCTCACTTCTTTAAATAAAACAGAAAGTAATTTGTTGCTAGTTTTATTTAATTTAAAATATTGTCAAGCAAAACTATCTACTTAACCATATACTTACCTACAAAAAAAAGAAAAGATAAAATCCTTACTTAACCCCTGACAGAAAAACAGAAAAGTGATGCTCGAACAAAAAGGATAATTTTTTTTTATCTCCTTCAATTAGTACTCCCTGTAACATGTGAGCTATGAGGGCTGAAAACAAGCCCAGTGAGAACCACAGACTTAAATAACTTTGGAGCACAGGAACTCGTCTCCATTTATTCAAAGAACTCTCCTCTCTTTCTCTCCATACAGGGGAGGAAAAACAAAACATATCTCTATCAGGGTCAACATGGCTACCACAACAGTGCTGCGCTTTTTTTAAAGTCAAAGCACACAATCTAAAACTCTCGTTTATACTATCACAAAAAGTGACTTACGATGGTGCAGATTCACAAATCTCCAACAACTATTTCAAACCTCAATCTGCAGCACGCAGGATGGTGTCATCTGTAGGAGCTAAAGAGCTCAGTCCCTCACTGGTCAAGACTGCCGGCTCCAGACCATTCAGAGAGTTCCACCTGTTCACCACCTATCAGACAAGAGACACACACACAGCCCCGTTAAGTAGAGAAAACAAGGGCACACCCAAACTGCAAAATAAATAAATAAATAAATAACACAAAGGTGCCAGTCAGTGTATAACAGGTAATGTAATAAAAAACATACATACAGACCCAATGTGACAAGTCTAGAGGAGACAACTTTTTATGCAGGCTATATAAAAATAAGTGCGTGTCTACCTTAGTGGGACTTCTGACACTGGGAGGAGGCCAGGGTCTCATAGGTGGGCAGGATGAGGTGGATGAGAGGCGAAGGCAGGTCTCCAGGTGATCATCAGTGTATCTGTTCTTGGACTTGATGATTTTCATGTGAGAGAAAGCTGTCTCAAGTTCAAAGCACCTCTTCTGATGGTGGGATACGTTTCCTCTGACAGCAGACTGCAGAACTCTCCATCCATGCAACTTGTTGCGCTGGATTTGATCCCAGTGTCATTTTGCAGAGTCAAAACCTCATTTTCAACACCAGAGCAGACAAGACTGAGACAMGGACACAAATTTGGACACATCCATCCATCCTGGACAACTGCACGTCTTTATAGCAGCCACAATCTCACTTTTATTTTTAAAATTACAGAAAAGCACGTCTGCAGCATCAAACACTTCTTTCATAACTTTGTCATCGCTGAAAGACATTTTTTGTGTTGAGGCAGGAGGGGGCTGCATTAGCAGCCTTACCGTAGGAGGGGAAATCYGCTTCGTAGCGTCTGTGCATTGTTTTAAAAGAAATGCAGTTCCACGTTATCCTTTTTGGACAAGCCAAGGTAGCGCTCGAATTACATATGAGTCCTCTTCCCACTCCAGGTGAAAATAAGTTTTTGGCTTCTTGTTAGCTGTCTTTCGTTAATTTTTTTCCGCCTCTCTGCTATGTTGTGAACACGTGACCCTAAAGTGTCATGCGATCATGTTCGGAGTACTGTTTCACAGCACCCAAAACTCACGAGACTACGTCTGTGAGAATACAAGATGGGGAGTGGAGGGAGCGCATTGCTGGAATGTGTTACTTAAACTCCTCCCACCTCCACCGCTTCTGCCGGAGTTAGAATGAAGCTCAGCGAGCGGACATGTCACCTTGCTCTAACAAGGTTGTGCTTCGCGGGAGACTGGGAACCAGCTGGTGGGCGACCGATCACCCACGAGCGACTGTTTGGGCACACCTGGATTAAGGTGTGCATGTGGGTGAGCATCAGGAGTGGCTCTGCTGAAGCTGTTTGTTGTTTCAGAGATGTGTCTTCTGTGGAGCTGCTGATGAACAACCATCAGGGCATCAAGGCGGAGATCGACGCCCGTAACGACAGCTTCACCACCTGCATCGAGCTGGGGAAAGCTCTGCTGGCCAGAAAACACTACGCTTCACCGGAGGTGACTTTATTAGACCAGATGATGGAGCAGATGTTCCATCATCTGACTGATGTCATGATCAGATCCTCCTGTGGGTCTCACAGATGTTCTTATCGTTCAGATCAAGGAGAAGCTGCTGCAGCTGACGGACAAAAGGAAGGAGATGATTGATAAGTGGGAGGACCGATGGGAGTGGCTCCGCCTCAGTAAGTCTCACTTCCTGTTTCATTAAACCAATCAGAGAGTCGGGGTCACTGCAGGTCCTGATGCTGGCCCGTGTCCTCCTCTAGTCCTGGAGGTGCACCAGTTCTCGCGGGACGCGGGTGTGGCCGAGGCATGGCTGCTGGGCCAGGAGCCGTACCTGTCCAGCAGAGAGGTGGGCCAGAGCGTGGACGAGGTGGAGAAGCTCATCAAACGCCACGAAGCCTTCGAGAAGTCCGCCGCCACCTGGGAGGAGCGCTTCTCTGCCCTGGAGAGGCTGACCACGGTGAGGAGGAATGATGAAGAGGAGGGGGGTGGGGTGGTGATGATGATGATGATGATGATGATGATGATGACACTGTGTGGTGTTCCAGCTGGAGCTGCTGGAGGTCAGGAGGCAGCAGGAGGAGGAGGAGAGGAGGAGGAAACCAACACCTGCAGAACCAGCTGTGGTCCAGCAGGAAGAAGCTCAGCAGCAGCAGAGGTGAAAGGTCACACAAACACAAACAGGAAGTTCAAACACAGACGTGTGGGTCACCTGTAAAGTTGGGGGGGTTGGGGGGGGGCGGGGGGTGTCAGTGTCTTGCTCAGGGACACTTCCACATGTGTCTGAAAGCGGTGGAACTGAACCTCCAACTCTCTCATTAGAGGAACAACTCCCCTAACCACTCATCCACTGCCAACCTGACCTGTCTGTGGAGGTCATAGGTCAGGAGGCGGAGTTTAACCTGAACAGGTTTTAACCAACAGGTGTGTAAATATGACTTGAAAAAACTGCTTCTTGTTTTTCTGCAGCGTCGTCACTCAGAACGGCCTCCCATCGGACCAGAACTCTCCTCAGGTCTGGTCTCTGCATGCATCTTATTCTGAAATCCTCACTGAGCTTTACTCTGAAAGTCAGGTTCTGGTTGTTCTCATTAGACCTTTCATCTGTAAATAATAAATGTGAAATGAGACAAGAACTTTTTAGAACAAAACTTTATTTTCTTGCTTTTAGTTTTCTCGTCTCGTTTGTGTTTGGTCTTTGGTCTGCAGGATGCAGGGGACGATCTGGCTAACGGGATTGCTGAGCACAGCTCAAAGGAAACAAGCCCCGCCCCCTCGCCGACGTCCGGCAGGAAGACTAAAAGCCAGTCGGCCACACTGCCCACCAAGAACCAGGACCTGACCTGGCAGCCCGAAGGCTTCCTGCACCGTAAACACGAGTGGGAGGGGCACAACAAGAAGGCCTCCAACAGGTGAGATCCAACAGGTGCTCTGCTCCGCCCCCTTTTAGGGCACCGTCTGACCTCTCTGCTCTGTGATTGGCAGGTCGTGGCACAACGTGTACTGCGTCATCAAAAACAAGGAAGTGAGCTTCTACAAGGACAGCAAGGCAGCTGGACAGGGCGTGGCTTACCACGGCGAGCCATCTGTCAGCCTGAAGAATGCCACCTGTGACGTGGCCTCTGAGTACAAGAAGAAGAAACACGTCTTCAAACTCAGGTGAGCGTCAGACTGGTGGGCGGAGTCACAGGTTCTGACAGGTTAAACTGAGGCTGGTGGGCGGAGTCACAGGTTCTGACAGGTTAAACTGAGGCTGGTGGACGGAGTCACAGGTTCTGACAGGTTAAACTGAGGCTGGTGGGCGGAGTCACAGGTTCTGACAGGTTAAACTGAGGCTGGTGGACGGAGTCACAGGTTCTGACAGGTTAAACTGAGGCTGGTGGGCGGAGTCACAGGTTCTGACAGGTTAAACTGAGGCTGGTGGACGGAGTCACAGGTTCTGACAGGTTAAACTGAGGCTGGTGGGCGGAGTCACAGGTTCTGACAGGTTAAACTGAGGCTGGTGGACGGAGTCACAGGTTCTGACAGGTTAAACTGAGGCTGGTGGGCGGAGTCACAGGTTCTGACAGGTTAAACTGAGGCTGGTGGACGGAGTCACAGGTTCTGACAGGTTAAACTGAGGCTGGTGGGCGGAGTCACAGGTTCTGACAGGTTAAACTCAGACTGGTGGGCGGAGTCACAGGTTCTGACAGGTTAAACTGAGGCTGGTGGGCGGAGTCACAGGTTCTGACAGGTTAAACTCAGACTGGTGG